AGGCTGGATTTATTTTAGTATCTGTTATAACAAATCCTGTTTATTAAGAAAACCACAGTGAAACCCCATCTCTACTAAAAATACAAAAAATTAGCTGGGCATGGTGGCACGTGCCTGTAATCCCAGCTACTCAGGAGGCTGAGGCAGGAGAATTGCCTGAACCCAGGAAGCGGAGGTTGCGGTGAGCCGAGATCGCGCCATTGCACTCCAGCCTGGGTAACAAGAGCGAAACTCCGTCTCAAAAGAAGAAGAAGAAAAAAAAAAAGCCACAAATGTGTTGTCTCTTGTTTAAGGACTTCTGGACTTAACCAATATTTCTGTTTTTAAGATCTTTTATTAAACCTGTGTGGATATATAAAGAGCTAGAGGTATGTTTTCCCCACTGTAGTTCATGTATAAATAGTTGGGACACATTTTGTTTTGTGAGGTGATTGATTTGTTAAGTTTTTAACCAGTTCACATAAGATTTAGAGGAAATTAAAGAATTAGATCAGTTCATTATTGAATTGCAAAGGATCAATAAACCTAGAGCATTAAACAGTGCTTTACTTATAAAGCAGAGGGAACCCTGTTGAAATCTAAAGATGTCATGGGCCTAGGTATTGGGGGAGCAAAGGGCATGGAGGATTTAGATGACTTCTTTTCTCAGTTATTGGAATGAAATCGAGTGGAACAGACACAGGCACCCACTTTAGGTTTATTGATTTTGCTATTCAACGGCTAATTCCTTTAAACCTGCTGCTTATATTGTGCCTGAGGCAGTGCTGTTGCTAGAGTTAAAGAAGCTAAACATCTTGTAAGGGAATTTTAGCCTGTTTTTTTTTAAGACTCATCCAACAGTAATTTCTTAACCAGAGGGCTTCGGAGTGGGTGGCAAACAGGACGGGAAAATGTATGATTTGAAAAACATTCTAAGATTTAACAGTGTTTTAATATTTTTTAGTCATATTTAATTTGTTTGGAAATTGCAAATAACATTAAAGAAGAGACCTGTTTGTCCAAGGAGTGGAGGGGTAAGAGTTGAGAAGCTGATCTACAAAGTTGATTTAAGCCAAATCAGACTAAAGGGCAGATTAATTCCAGATTCTGCTGTTTGGGTATAAGATACGTATATAGAACAAGTAGGAAAGGGATATCTTATTCAGGTTCTTCTGTTCTTATGTTGAACTTGACCTCATTGTTTGTACTGACCACCAGTTCTACTTTTATCCTCCCAGTGGAAGGACAGGTTAATAACTGGATATTAGCCGATGATACTAGATTAAGCCCCATGAGGGTAAGGATCTCTAGCTAGCATCATGTGAATTCCAGACACTATTTTTGAATTAAAGGATATGAAAAAGTCTTAAGTCCATGCACCATAAGTGGTTTACCTCATGTCTCAATCATGTTAGCTTATTAAAATCTCCCATAGATCTTTGCACATGAGGCTGGGCATGGTGGCTCATGCCTGTAACCCCAACACCTTGGGAGGCCGAGGTGGGCGGATGATTTGAGGTCAGGAATTCAAGACCAGCCTGGCCAACATGGTGAAACCCCATCGCTACTGAAAATATAAAAATTAGCCAGGTGTGATGGCGCATGCCTGTAATGTCAGCTACTCGGGAGGCTGAGGCAAGAGAATCACTTGAACCTGGGAGGCAGAGGTGGCAGTAAGCCAAGATCATGCCACTGTACTCCAGCCTGGGCAACAGAGTAAGACTCTGTCTCAAAAAAAAAAAAAAAACCAGAGGCCGGGCGCGGTGGCTCAAGCCTGTAATCCCAGCACTTTGGGAGGCCGAGGCGGGTGGATCACGAGGTCGAGAGATCGAGACCATCCTGGTCAACATGGTGAAACCCCGTCTCTATTAAAAATATAAAAAATTAGCTGGGCATGGTGGTGCGTGCCTGTAATCCCAGCTATTCTGGAGGCTGAGGCAGGAGAACTGCTTGAACCCAGGAGGCGGAGGTTGCGGTGAGCCGAGATCGCGCCATTGCACTCCAGCCTGGGTAACAAGAGCGAAACTCCGTCTCAAAAAAAAAAAAAAAAAAACCTTTTTTTGCATATGAACTGCAGCAGTGTAAGTGCTATGAGGCCCAACATCTCCATAACTGTATTCTTTGAAGGCTATAGAATAATGCCAGGTGCAGTGGCTCGTATCTGTAATCTCAGCACTTTGGGAGGCTAAGACAGGAGGAACAGTTGAGGCCAAGGAGTTCAAGACCAGCCTAGGCAGCCTAGCAAGACCCCTGCCTCTACAAAAAGTTTTAAGATTAGCTGGGCGTGGTGGTAAATGCCTGTAGTCCCAGCTGCTCAGGAGGTTGAGAGGAGGATTGCCTGAGCCCAAAAGGTCAAAGCTGCAGCGAGCCACGTTTGCAGCACTGCAAACAAAAAAGCAGGGGTGGGGGGCGGGTGAGGAGGCATGTAGGATGGATTCAAAATGTGTTTTGGTTGATTATAGATGATACTTTTGGAGCTGTATTAATTAGGCCACTTGAGAGATATGGAAATTACCATGTTTGTGGTCAACTTTTTTTATTTGATCAGATTCATCTAGTTTGCATATTCAGACCTTAATACATCAGGTTCTAATGGTGTCCACAAGGCTGTGTGTTAACACTGATAGCAAACTTGGTTACCTTTATTTCCTGAAAGTTGAATTTTAAAAGAAAGTCAGATACCAAGTGAGAACACAACCTTGAGTTAAACAATTAAAAATCAGGTGATAGAACATGCAGGAGAAATTTATGATTATAAAAACCATGAAACCGATCTTTTTTACAACAAAGCTGCTTGCTTTTTCTTAATCATGTAGTGGCTGCTCTCAGGCCAGTTCTGGAAGTTTCCTTAGTCCCTTCTGCTCTTCTGAATTAGTTCTTGATTGGTGGTGACATCTCAGAAGTTCTGAGGACCACGAAGAAAGCAATGTCAGTTCACAAGTTGGGTCTTTTTTTTTTTTGTTTTTTTGAGATGGAATCTCACGCTGTGGCCTCGGTCTGGAATGCAATGGCATGATCTCTGATCTCTGAAACCTCCGCCTCCCAGTTGACAGGATTCTCCTGCCTCAGCCCTCCTGTGTAGCTGGAATTACAGGCACACACCACCACACCTGGCTAATTTTTTGTATTTTTAATAGAGATGGGTTCACTGTGTGGGCCAGATTGGTCTTGAACCCCTGACCTCATGATCCACCTGCCTCGGCCTCCCAAAGTACTGGGATTACAGGTGTGAGCTACCACATCTGGTCATATTTTCTTTTTAGTATTACATCTTCATATCCAGTGTTACGGTAGAGAAGGAAATTTTTTCTAGAAGATAGAGACATCTAGGGTATATGAGTCTTACCATTTGAATACTTTCAACTAACAGTACATTTTACCATGGTTTTGATAACCTGCCATGGAACTAATAATAAGCTGCTGAGAGGCAGGGATCCCTTGGTATATAGAAAGAGCCCTGGACTTTTTATGGAAAAATTTGGGTTTTAGCTCCAGCTTAGCTAGCCAATGTCTCTGTAACTTTACAAACATCCAATGTTTCACTTAACCTCTCTGAAACTTAGTTTCCTTCTCTGTAAATTGATAGTTGTGGCCACGTACCATGTCTCAGCCCAGCATTTTGGGAGGCTGAGGCAGAAGGATCACTTGAGCCTAGGAGACCAGCCTGGGCAACATAGGGAATACAAAAAATGTTTAAAAATTAGCTGAGCGCCGGGCGCAGTGGCTCAAGCCTGTAATCCCAGCACTTTGGGAGGCCGAGGCGGGTGGATCACAAGGTCAAGAGATCCAGACCATCCTGGTCAACATGGTGAAACCCAGTCTCTACTAAAAATACAAAAAATTAGCTGGGCATGGTGGCACGTGCCTGTAATCCCAGCTACTCAGGAGGCTGAGGCAGGAGAATTGCTTGAACCCAGGAGGAGGAGGTTGCGGTGAGCCAAGAGCGGGCCATTGCACTCCAGCCTGGGTAACAAAAGTGAAACTCTGTCTCAAAAAAAAAAAAAAAAAAAAAAAAAAAAAATTAGCTGAGCATGGGGGTGTACACCTGTGGTCCCAGCGACTCAGGAGGCTGAGGTGGGAGGATCACATGAGCCTGGGAGGGTTAAGGCTGCAGATAGCCATGGCCACACCACTGCACTACAGCCTGAACAACAGAGCAAGACCCTGTCTCCAAAAAAAAATAAAAAATAAAAAAAAGCAGGGGCCAGGTATGGCAGCTCACACCTGTAATCCCAGCACTTTGGGAGGCCAAGGCAGGCAGATCACCTGAGGTCAGGAGTTCAAGACCAGTCTGGCCAACATGGTGAAATCCGGTCTCTACTAAAATAAAAAAATAAACCGGGGGGGTGGCAGGTACTTGTGATCCCAGCTACTTGGGAGGCTAAGGTAGGATAATTGCTTGAACCCACGAGGCAGAGGTGACAGTGAGCTGAGATCATGCCACTGCACTCCAGCCTGGGTGACAGGAGCAAGATTCCGTCTCAAAAAAAAAAAAGGATAGTTGTGATTTCTTCCTCACGTGTTTTTTTTTTTTTTAACAAGTGTCGATCCTCAAAAGTGCTATACAGAATGTGTTACGCGAGATGGATTTTTACTGATCTTTTTTATCCAAGGAGCAGGGAAGGTAGTAACTGAATAGAAGCAGTTACAAAATTAAAAGCTCTTAAATGATGAGTGAATATAGTAGAAGATAAAAGGTTGCCCCCACACGCCAGTCATACTCTCTAGAGGGTATCTCAAACACCTGGACCCTTTTCCATACGTAAATGTGTGTTCCTGCATAATAAGTATTCTACAACTTTTAAATTACTTACTGCTTGCTTTTTCTTTTTGTGCCACTATACTGTGCTTTATCTTTATTTATGTCTGCATAGTACTCCTTCATAGAAATGCCATAACTTAGTTATTTGGGGAGTGTCTCTGTTGCTTGTTTTTCTCAATATGTTTTACAACATTGCATTGTACAACTCTGTAAATACCTGAGTATTGGTGAATAATCTTTCTCTTGCCTTTTAAAACAGCAAAAAAGAAGAATAAGAAGGGGAAGACTATCTCCCTTACAGACTTTCTGGCTGAGGATGGGGGGACTGGTGGAGGAAGCACCTACGTTTCCAAACCAGTCAGCTGGGCTGATGAAACAGATGACCTGGAAGGAGATGGTAATTTTTCTTTTGTCATCATGTTTGGAATGTTTATTATTTTCTACACAAAACTGTTTGATAGTACTTCACACCATTTGTAATCTGAAAAGAGCTTACTCATTTTGTAGCACTTGAAATCTTACATATTTTGTGGAATCTAAGGTTTAATCAGAGGTTTGGGCTATCACACTTTACAGTGAAGACTGAAGTGGTCATTTAAGAGCGCTTTGCTAGTTCTTGTTCTTGAATTAACAGATTTCTTGAGTTGCTATTCTTTTTGTCCTCATTTTCTTCATTTTGAAAGTAGGAACGAGATTATCTTTTAAAATTTCTTCTAGGTCTAAAATTCTGTGGGGTTCATCCTCATAAAGTGATGTTTCAGGCCGGGCATAGTGGCTCACGCCTGTAATCCCAGCACTTTGGGAGGCCAAGGTGGGTGGATCATGAGGTCAGGAGATGGAGACCATCCTGGTTAACATGCAGAAATTCTATCTCTACTAAAAATACAAAAAATTAGCTGGGTGTGGTGGCATGTACCTATAATCCAGCTATTCGGGAGGCTAAGGCAGGAGAATCGCTTGAATCCACCCAGTAGGCAGAGGTTGCAGTGAGCCAAGATCTCACCACTGCACTCCAGTCTGGGTGACAGAGCAAAACTCCGTCTCAAAAAGAAAAAAAAAAAAGATAAGATGGGATATAATGAATATAAAGTACCCGGCACACAGTAATATTCCATAAAGAGTTGTATTTATGGAATAGTATTTCTTTGCTACATAAGGATTAAAGTGTCATAATTCATCTCAGAAGCATCTTTTTTTAAATGCCCTTATTACTGAACCCTCACTTTTTTTTGGTCTGTTTTCCAATATAGCATGTTTAATACTTGGCAGGTAACATGGGTCCTCTTGTTCTATGACAGCAATGAGAGAAGTTTCTTGTAATTTCTTCCATTCATTCCTCTATCCTAGTTTCAACAACTTGGCACAGTAATGATGACGATGTGTATAGGGCGCCTCCAATTGACCGTTCCATTCTTCCCACTGCTCCACGGGCTGCTCGGGAACCCAATATCGACCGGAGCCGTCTTCCCAAATCGCCACCCTACACTGCCTTCCTGGGGAACCTACCCTATGATGTGACAGAAGAGTCAATTAAGGAATTCTTCAGAGGATTAAATGTAAGTATAGAAGTTGTAATAATTAACTAGATATTGAGGATAATTGTCTAAAAAAGACTAGTTGTGGAATGGGCAGTTCCTCTTCATGGAAAAACAATTAGAAGTATAATTTAAGGCTGGGCTCAGTAGCTCACACCTGTAAGACAGCACTTTGGGAGGCTGAAGCGGGTTGATCATTTGAAGTCAGGAGTTTGAGACCAGCCTGGTTAATATGGTGAAACCCCATCTCTACTGAAAATACAAAAATTAGCTAGGTGTTGTGATACATACCTATAATTCCAGCTATTTAGGAGGCTGAGGTAGGAGAATCACTTAAACCTGGGAGGCTGAGGTTGTAGTGAGGTGAGATTGTGCCACTGTACTCTAGCCTGGGTGACAGAATGAAACTCTGTTTCCAAAAATAAAAAAATGGAAATATAATTTAGGATTTTTTTTTTCTTTCTTTCTTTTCTTTTTTCTTTGAGGTGGAGTTTCACTCTAGTTGCCCAGGCTGGAGTGTAATGGTGCAATCTCGGCCCACTGCAACCTCCGTCTTCCAGGTTCAAGCAATTCTGCCTCAGCCTCCTGAGTAGCTGGGGCATGTGCCACCATGTCTGGCAAAGTTTTTTGTATTTAGTAGAGACAGGGTTTCACCATGTTGGTCAGGCTGGTCTCGAACTCCTGGCCTCAGACGATCCACCCTCTTCAGCCTCCCAGAGTGCTGGGATTACAAGCATGGGCCACCACACCCAGCCTGAATTTATCTTTTTTTAAGGGTTAAATTCGTATCATTCAAAATATAGAAGGTATAGTAGGGCATTTAGTAAAATCTCTACCATCCCTCTGCATCACTTTTCCTCCTGAGGTAACCATGTTCTTGTATATTCAGAAACATTCATGCACATACCATAATGCTTTTTAGTCCCCTCAAAGAATGGCAAATGAAGAAGAATGTTGGAAACTTAGTTGTTGTTTCTTATTCCTTCAGATCAGTGCAGTGCGTTTACCACGTGAACCCAGCAATCCAGAGAGGTTGAAAGGTTTTGGTTATGCTGAATTTGAGGACATGGATTCCCTGCTTAGTGCCCTGAGTCTCAATGAAGAGGTAAAGAAAACAAGAGTGGGCATATGAGGGGTGTAAGTTCACAAATCTCATGTTTGTCAATCCAACTGATTTTTTTTTTTTTTACGTTGAATGAGTGGCTCACTTCAAAGATTACCGTATCTACAAATAAAGGTCTGCATTATTGTATTTTAATTTTTATTTTTTGAAGATGGGGTTTCACCATGATGGCCAGGCTGGTCTTGAACTCCTGACCTCAGGTGATCCACCCACCTCAGCCTCCCAAAGTGCTAGGATTACAGGCATGAGCCACTGCGCTGAGATAGGCCTGCATTATTTTAACAGTATATCACTTAACATTCAACGTCTAGCAAGTCACACTTCAGCAAATTCAGTAGGCCCCAGTAATTTAAAGAGGTGCTCAGATGGAAAATTGTGGTAGAAACCCGCCACACACCAGGTCTCTAAGTCTCACATTGGTTTGCTCAGTGTTGCCTCAACAATTATGGCTTTGCTTTTTCAAAATAATCTGACCTGGTAAAGGCAAACAGAAAAATCAAAGTTTGTTTAGTATTGAAAGGCATGTCTCATTTTCAGGAAGTGTTATAATGGTATTTTTGTTCATGTAAGAGGATTTGGAAACATTTCCAACCAAGGAATATTTTACAGGAGAGTGACAATAAACATCTAGTCCTTCTGCTTGTTAACACTGCCCACAAATGTTTTCCCGTTCCAGGACTTGAGAGGCTTATATCTAGGAAGAGAAAACACTTCCTCCTTTAATTCTGAAAACCCCTTATTGCTGATTGATAAGGCAGTTTCTAATGCTATTTGTGCCATAATTCGGTAGTCCAAATTTGCCATATGACATGATTAAAATGAACACCTCTTAGAAATAGTTTTGCTGCCTCATAATTGAGTATCGTCATGACAGTCCATAGTCAGTGTGAAATAGAGACTAAAAATTAATGTACTTAGTTGAATTTAAATGCATATGAAGGTCTAATCTTGTTCCAGAGTTACTGTTACTGGATTATTTTTAGATTTTATTACCATCACTGGTCTTTACTTAGTCTGGTTAAGAAAAAGAATGCCATGCAATTGTTACTATTTGATGTTTACTAGATTAACTATTACTTAATATATTGTTGTGGTTCATATTTAGGAGTTACTTTTTTACTAGAGATTTCATTATGGTGGTGTTTAATATAGTTTTAACTAAAAATCACTTATCCTTCTTCAACTTAGATTCTACTATGAAATGAGGAAAAATCAGCAATAGAATTAATAGGGTTCAAATTGTATGAACAGTGATGTAGGAAAAGGCAGTCAGAGGGTAGCTCTGGAAGAACTTATTTATCCAAAGGTAATATTGAGTGAAAGAACCTAAGATTGTAGACGAAGTATGCTTTATGCAATTTTGCTAGAATAAAGTATTAGTAGGGGCTCTATAAATGTGTTGGGTGTTTTTGTTTTTAAGAGACAGGGTCTTGCTATATTTTCCAAACTAAACTTGAGCTCCTAGGCTCAAGTGATCCTCCTGCCTCCGTCTCCCAAATAGCTGAGACTGCAGGTGCATGCCATTGCATCTGGCTTCTATGAATTTTGGATAAAAAAATAATTGCGTATTTGCTAACATCAAATATGCCTTTTATTTAGCTAGTTACGTGAGAATTATTTTTAATTTACTACACTTGACAAATTACCTTGGATAGTTAAAAAGTTGATTCTGTTCTGTGAAATTCAGATTTGTAAAAATAGCATGGTCATTGACCTGATATTCAAGGCCAACTTAAATTTGTTGAATTTTTAAGTCTTTATAAAGGACGCTTTAGCCCACAAATTGGAGTGTTAGCTAGATTACAGTGTTTTCCTTTATCTTCCTTCCCCTAGTGCTTCTGCTATGCCCAGACGTTCAAGGTCACTCAAGGGATTTGTGCATAATGGGGCAAAAGGTTGGTTAATATGGTCCTATGCTCTCAGTCTCTAGGTAACAGGAGAATTCGAGTGGACGTTGCTGATCAAGCACAGGATAAAGGTAAGGAAACTGGTGGAGATTTCTGTTTGGTAATGGTAGGATGACGCCAAGGCATCCTTTCCCCGAAAATTTGAATAGGGGTAGTGGTGGGCCTGCCTGAGTCTATAGTAACAGTTTTCAACCAGTTTTGCACCGCAGGGGACTTTTGCCAATGTTTGAAGACGTTACAGCTTGTCACAATGAAATCCAGGGGTTAATGCTCTAGTGGATGGGACAGCCCCCATCTATAAAGAATTATGCAGCCCAAAATGCATGTCAAGATTGAGAAGCCCTGATTGAACTAGATGAACATTAAATGTATGATAAATAGGTTAGCTGTCTAACAGCACATTGGGCACAAAAGGGACCTAATTTGTATATGTTTTAGGAACTCCTGTCGTACACAGAATTTGAGATAGCTAAGCATTAAACCAATAGGAAAGAATGGGAGGAAAAGAATTACTTCGGTTGAATTGGAACATGTACTTAACGGGGCCTGAGGTAACTGGGATGACAGTGTGATATAAAAGTGCAAAATAGGGTAAAATGGAGTTTTCTGTGTGTGAGAAATATTAGGCAAAGTTATTATGAGCTAACTTAAGGTTTTTGTTTTAACGTATCTGTAGACAGGGACGATCGTTCTTTTGGCCGTGATAGAAATCGGGATTCTGACAAAACTGATACAGACTGGAGGGCTCGTCCTGCCACAGACAGCTTTGATGACTACCCGCCTAGAAGAGGTGATGATAGCTTTGGAGACAGTAAGTTTGTGTTTATGAAGTTAGTTTGTTCTGTGCTCTGGGAGGCTGTTTAGTAATAGGACAGATGTATTACAGATGATCACATTAAAAGAAGGGGGAAAGCAGCTGAAGGAAAATTTTGGATCATATCCAAAAGAATTGATAGATGCAGAAAACAAATTTGAAAATAGTTTTTTTTTAAGAAACGTAAACAAAGGGACAGACATTTCTCTTTCTTTGGAGACAATTGTTTATAAAGAAACCTAGCTGGGTGTGGTGGCTAACACCTATAATCCCAACACTTTGGGAGGCCAAGGCAGGCAGATTGTTTGAGGCCAGGAGTCAGGCCAGCCTGGCCAGCAAAACAAGATCCTATCTACAAAAAAAAAAAAAGATGCGGTGGTGTGCACCTGAGCCAAGAGTACTGCCTGAGCCAGGAGGTCTAGACTGGGTGACAGAGCAAGACCCTATCTCAAAAAAAAAAAAAAAAAAAAAAAAAACCAAAAACCCAACAGATTACATAAAGTGAGCTATTTAAAATAAAGAGATCAGGCTGGGCATGGTGGCTCACGCCTATAATTCCAGCACTTTGGGAGGCAGAGGCAGGTGAATCACCTGAGGTCATGAGTTCGAGACCAGCCTGACCAATATAGAGAAACCCCATCTCTACTAAAAATACAAAATTAGCTGAGCATGGTGGCGCATGCCTGTAATCTCAGCTACCTGGGAGGCTGAGACAGGAGTATTGCTTGAACCCGGGAGGCAGAGGTTGCGGTGAGCCAAGATTGTGCTGTTACACTCCAGCCTGGGCAACAAGAGTGAACTGCATCTCAGAAGAGTTCACCATGGTTGCTGGGTGAATGCAGCATGCAAAGATCAGTTGCATTATTATATGCTTATAGCAAATAATTAAAATGTAATTTTTTTAATAAAAATATTGATTGACTTTAAAATACTCAAGATACAGCAGTGAACAAAGATATAGCACTGAACAAAAACAAAATCCTATCTTTATTGGGCATACGTTGTTATAGTGGAGGGAAGAGACTGTGTGTGAATAATTAAACGGTTCAGGGACAGAAAGATAGAGGAATGGGAAATAACATGGGGTAGGAGTAGAGATTAATTACATCCACCACTTAAATCTAATAAAAACCTTTATGGGAAAAATTATGCAACTGTATTACAATATGCAAAAATAGACAACACTAATTATTTTTAAAATGGAAAGAAGCTACCACCTAGTAAAAATAAGTAGTGGTTTGTCTGTAATGAAATACTTTGTAGCATAACAATAGGGATAAAATTCAAAACATGCCACATTAAGGGGAAAAAAATCTGTATAAATTTGAAAACAATACCATGTATTAATGTATAAGTTGTAAAACTATAAAGCTATGCACGGTAATTTAACCACCCTTGTGATTGTTGGTGGGGGTAGGGAGGATTCTGTTGTTACATATATAACATATTTCTTTTAAACAAAAAACAAACATGACAAAATACGATATTCACTAAACCTAAGTAATAGATTCATAAGTTCGTTATAATGGCTTCTTTACCTTTTTTTAATACAAATGTAAATTTTTAACTATATACTTTTTTTTTTATTATTATGGCTTCTTTTCTTGTCTTTATGTTTGAAATCGTTGAAGTAAAAACAGAAAAAGTTAAATTTACAAACTCTGTTGATTTTTTTGTTTGCTTTTTTTTTGTTTTTTTGAGATACAGTCTCGCTCTGTTTTCCAGACTAGAGTGCAGTGGCAATATTGGCTTACTGCAACCTCTGCTCCCAAGTTCGGTGTTCCTTGTTTCTCAGCCTCCTGAGTAGCTGGGAATTCAGATGTGTGCCACCACACGTGGCTCCTTTTTTTTTTTTTTTTTTTTTGAGACGGAGTTTCACTCTTACTGCTTAGGCTGGAGTGCAATGGCACTATCTCGGCTCATTGCAGCCTCTGCCTCCTGGGTTCAAGCGATTCTCCTTCCTCAGCCTCCCAAGTAGCTGGGATTACAGGAATGAGCCACTATGCCGGGCTAATTTTGTATTTTTAGTAGAGATGGGTTTTCACCATGTTGGTCAGGCTGATCCCGAACTACTGACTTCACATGATCTGCCCACCTTGACCTCCCAAAATGCTGGGATTACAGATGTAAGCCGGCACTCCTGCCACAAGCATTTTAATTTTGTGAAGTGCCTTTTCAGCTTTGTACCAAATATAATTGGGGAAGCAGTAAAGAATGTAATTCCTATTAGAGGAGAGTTCTTAACCTTATAAGATGTAGAGGGAAGAAGAACGGGGCATAGGTCTGAAAAATAAATCAGCAAGTTTATATCTGACTTTTTACGCGTCTTTGTGATACAGCAAAGCTTTGGGAAGACCTGTCTGAGGTGATTAAACTTCAGCATTTATGCAAGAGATTCTATTGTTAACAGGAAGAAATGGCTCTTGAAAGAAAAAGCAGACAATCAGACCAAGGGTCCTGTTTTGAGTCCAGGGGCATGACTTTTCTCACCTGAAACCTTGAATTTAGAGCAAGCAGGATGGATAACGAGTGAGTGTGCTGTTGTTATCCAAAGCGGCCACAAAGTAGTTAACCTGAGTTAAAGATCCAGACCCCTATCCCAAGCATTGAGGCAAAAAACAGAAACCCGAGGGGTGTTGGGGGCGCGGGGGTATTATACCAATTATTCCTATGAAATGTCAGTAATAGCATATGCCACTTTTCTTCAGTATGGATCTGTGCTTTCTCAGGAAATGCAAGCTTACCATAATTTCAATATTATCCAAATAAAGTGTAAATTTGCATCTCCAGAAATTAAAAACTCATTTCAAAATAAACACAGGGCTGATTTTCTTGTGTGTGTCCTCTTTTAGATCATTTCTATAATGATTTTACTAACATCAGCATGTTCTTCAATATATAAAGTTTATAATACCGGGATATGTTGTATCTGGTCAGTAAAAATTATGTGGTTTCCAAAATGAAATCATTATTTAAAAGACAGCAGCCACAAGAAAAAGATCCCTGTTTGGCCCCCACACATAAATTATCAGCCCTGAAAACATTTGTGGGGTTTTTTTTTTAGTTGATTTATATTTAGAAATTCAGATTTAAAAAAACATAAAAATCTGTGTTGCCAGCTTCTCAGAAAACTAGAAGATCCTAGCAACAGTCAGCTGGAGCTAAATAGCAGCTATCCCTTTCATAAACAACTTAACGCTACCCACAGTTTGCTGTCTGAGCTACTACATTTCTTTATACAGATTTCTAGTATTTAGGGTTCTCTGATACTGAAATGCACACATGTGTATGTAAAATATACTTTATAATATAAACAACATTGCAGTGAATGTCTTCGTACGTGTATCTTTATCACACATCCAGTTATTTCCTCAGGATAAATTCCTACAAATTGTTGGCCAAGAAGGGTGTACATGACATCAGATTTTTTAGTGCATAGTTCTAATAAAACTTTCAGTATTTGTATTTATTTATTTATTTATTCATTTATTTATTTATTTATTTAGAGAGGAAGTCTCACTCTATCACCCAGGCTAGAATGCCCTGGCACAATCTTGGCTCACTGCAACCTCTGCCTCCCTGGCTCAAGTAATCCTCCCACCTCAGCCTCCCAAGCAGCTGGCACCACAGACGTGCACCACCATACCTGGCTAATATTTTGTGGTTTTGATAGAATCATGGTTTCACCGTGTTGCCCAGGCTGGTCTTGAACTCCTGAGCTCAGATGATCCACCATCCTCAGCTTCCCAAAGTGTATTTATACTGTTTTAATTTATCATCAGCAGTGCAGAAATTGATTTAAGCTCCTAAATTTCGCCAACACTAGATGTTATTTATTTTAATCTTTGACATTTTCATGGTAGAAAGTGATGTCCTGTTAGTCATATGTTGCATACATTGTTTCTCATTTTGTTTGCCTCTTAAGGTAGTCTTTGAGGCTGGGTGCTATGGCTCATGCCTGTAATTCCAGCACTCTGGGAGCCCAAGGCTGGAGGATTGCTTTAGTCCAGGAGTCTGAGACCAGCCTGGGCAACAAAGAGAGACTGTCTCAGCAAAAACAATGTTTTAATTAAAAAATAAGTGGCCTTTGGACACATGGAAGATTCCAGCTGTGTACTTTTAGTGTCTTGTGCTTACTTTCCTTTTTTGTACGTACATATACATCTTTTCTCCTTCTGGAAATTCATTGTGGAATATTTAGAGTTTTTTTATTTCCAACCCACCCTTCCCAAATTATTAGCTGAGCAACATTTATTTCACCAGGGAAACAGATAGAAAATTGAAATCAGATAGAAAGCAGATAGAAAATTGAAATACAAATTCTTCCAAACTGATCTGATAGCTTACCATGTTTTTATTAATGGTGTCAGAGAAAGGGGATGGTGTTACTTTTCTCTTTTCTCTAGAGTATCGAGATCGTTATGATTCAGACCGGTATCGTGATGGGTATCGGGATGGGTACCGGGATGGCCCTCGCCGGGATATGGATCGATATGGCGGCCGGGATCGCTATGATGACCGAGGCAGCAGAGACTATGATAGAGGTAATTGCTCTCTTTCAGTAACTTTTTGCCTTTTTTTTTTTTTTTTTTTTTTTGGTCTCTGCTGTGATTATTATAATTTGGAATATATTTTCAGGCTATGACTCCCGGATAGGCAGTGGCAGAAGAGCATTTGGCAGTGGATACCGCAGGGATGACGACTACAGAGGAGGCGGGGACCGCTATGAAGACCGATATGACAGACGGGATGATCGGTCATGGAGCTCCAGAGATGATTACTCTCGGGATGATTATAGGCGTGATGATAGAGGTAATAGTTTTATTTTGCTTACTTCATGGAACAGAAACTCAGAAAACTACAGAAAATTTCGGATTGGGTTACAGACCACTGAGTCAGGCACACATATAACTTGCACATTGTACAGGAAGCAGCAAAGCATAGTAGAAAGAGCTTTGGCTAAGGATGACATCAGTAGAAGTAAAGCAGTCAAATTCTTTTCATCTCATATGCCTTCACAGATTTTTCAGTTAAAATTTACTGAATAAACAGTAGAAATGGAAAAAAAAAGTTTGCCAGATACTGTTATGTTGTGATCTCAATAAATTATACTTAAAACTGATTTTAGCTCCATTTTTCAAGTGAGAGAAATGAAACTGGGACTAAACATAGTCCTGTAGCCCATAATTGTTACTATGTGGTTAAAAAACACACGTTAAGGCCAGGTGCAGCAGCTCACGCCTATAATCTCAGCACTTAGGGAGGCTGAAGTGGGCAGATCAGGAAGTCAAGAGATCAATACCATCCTGGGCAACATGGGGAAACCCCATCTCTACTAAAAATACAAAAATTAGATGGCCGTAGTGGCGCACACCTGTCGTCCCAGCTACTGGGGAGGCTAAGTCAGGAGAATTGCTTGAGCCCAGAGGCAGAGGTTGCAGTGAGTTGAGATTGCGCCACTACACTCCAACTTGGGCAACAGAGTGAAACTCTGTCTCACAAAACAAACAAAACATCATCACTGATTTCAGTACCATTATACCACAATAAGTGATGTTCATTAATTATAAAGGTGGGTTTTGGTGCACCTATTCTAAAATTATCCCCTAATAGTATAACATATAAAATGTTAACTGCTATAAACCTAAACTGTTAGAAAATACTAATAAATGGCCACCATTTCTGTTCTAACTTTACTGATGTCATATAAAAGGTTATGGTATCTGGCCTAGAATTTTTTTTTTTTTTTTCCTGAGACAGTCTGGCTCTATCGCCAGGCTGGATTGCAGGGATGGATCTTGGCTCATTGCAGCCTCTGTCTCCCAAGTTCAAGCGATTCTCCAGCCTCTGCCTCCTGAGTAGCTGGGATTACAGGTGCCCACCACCACACCCAGCGAATTTTTGTATTTTTAGTAGAGGTGGGGTTTCCTCATGTTGCCCAGGATGGTATTGATCTCTTGGCCGATTGTTTTCTATCTTTAACATATTTGTGTTTTAAACTTTGTGCCAACGGCTTTATATCCATCATCTTCTGTGATTCCCTAAGAAAAGAAAATGTATCTAGACAACTAATAAAACACAGTGAGATGACAAAATTCATCAGAGCCATATGGCAGTTCTATTGTGGTGAAATCTTTATTCCCTTAAAATATAATACTCAGGCCGGGCGCGGTGGCTGACGCCTGTAACCCCAGCACTTTGGGAGGCCGAGGTGGGTGGATCACAAGGTCAAGAGATCGAGACCATCCTGGTCAACATGGTGAAACCCCGTCTCTACTAAAAATACAAAAATTAGCTGGGCATGGTGGCACACGCCTGTAGTCCCCGCTACTCAGGAGGCTGAGGCAGGAGAATTGCTTGAACCCAGGAGGCAGAGGTTGCGGTGAGCCAAGATCACGCAATTGCACTCCAGCCTGGGTAACAAGAGCGAAACTCCGTCTCAATCAATCAATCAATCAATCAATCAATCAATAAACAAACAAACAAACTCAATTTTTTTTTTTCTAAAAAGTAAATAAAAAACTTAGTCCAGGCATGGTGACTCACATTTGTAATCCCAGCACTTTGAGAGACCAAGGCAGGAGGATTGCTTGAGCCCAGGAGTTCGAGACCAGCCTTGGAAACATAGTGAGACCCCATCTCTACAAGAAATATAAAAGTTAACTGAGCATGGCAGTAGCATTTGTCTGTAGGCCCAGCATCTTAGGAGACTGAGGTGGGAGGAACGCTTGCGCCTAGGAGGACAAGGCTGCAGTGAGTCTAGATCAGGCGTCCCCAAACTACGGCCCGCGGGCCTCATGCGGCCCCCTGAGGCCATTTATCCGGCCCCCCGCCGCGCTTCAGGAAGGGGCACCTCTTTCATTGGTGGTCAGTGAGAGGAGCACAGTATGTGGTGGCCCTCCAACGGTCTGAGGGACAGTGAACTGGCCCCCTGTGTAAAAAGTTTGGGGACGCCTGGTCTAGGTCATACCACTGCACTTCAGCCAGGGCATCATAGTGAGACCTCATCTAAAAAATAATAAGTTTTTTAAAAACTGCATTTTTTTTTTTTTTTTTTTTTTTTTGAGACGGAGTTTCGCTCTTGTTACCCAGGCTGGAGTGCAATGGCATGATCTCGGCTCACGGCAACCTCCCCCTCTTGGGTTCAGGCAATTCTCCTGCCTCAGCCTCCTGAGTAGCTGGGATTACAGGCAGGTGCCACCATGCCCAGCTAATTTTTTGTATTTTTAGTAGAGACGGAGTTTCACCATGTTCACCAGGATGGTCTCGATCTCTTGACCTTGTGATCCACTCACCTCAGCCTCCCAAAGTGCTGGGATTACAGGCGTGAGCCACCGCGCCCGGCTAAAAACTGCATTCTTAAAAGCTATTTCCTCAAGCAAGAAGCCTAAAAATAATAGTTAACATTTAGTAAGCATTTACTCTGTTCCAGCAGTGAGCTTAGTGCTTGTACAAGTATTGTTTCTTAGATTTCTATGTGGTATAGGTAAAATTACAAGTTAGAAAAGTGGAGGCTCAGATGTGGGCCTTGTGTTCTCCTTGGCTCTTTGTATTTATTTATTTATTTTTGAGACAGAGTTTTTTTTGCTCTTTGACGCAGGCTGGAATTCAGTGGCACAGTCCTGGCTCACTGCAACCTCCACCTTTCAGGTTCAAGTGATTCTCCTGCCTCAGCCTCCTGAGTAGCTGGCAGTAAAGGCATGAGCCACCATGCCCGGCTAATTTTTGTATTTTTAGTAGAGATGGGGTTTCACCGTGTTGGCCAGGCTGGTCTCGAACTCTTGACCTGGTGATCTGCCCGCCTCAGCCTCCCATAGTGCTGGGATTACAGGCATGAGCAACCACGCCCAGCCCCTGTCCTTGACCTTTTCCTCTCACACTGTTCTTACTTCTCCACCAGTAGCTGCATACCTGATTTTTTCTCTTGCTCTGTTCTTGCTCTTACCCCCATTTCCCCTTAAGATCTGCCCTCTTGTCTCGAGTCACTGCTGCTACCTTTGTTGAGGCCTCATTGCTGCATCCACATTACTGGCCATTGCCTCCTAACAGAGTTCCCTGCCTTGCTCCATTCTTCATATTGGCCCCAGTTGTCTTTCTGGCATAAGCTCTAATAACTTTATTCTCCTCCATTTAGACCTTTCTCATTTCCCATAGCCTGGAAGATAGTCCTGTGACATACATGGGTCTTCACTGTTTGCCCACCATTTACATTTTCTTTTTTTTCCTTCTTGAGACAGGCTGTCACCCTGTCGCCCAGGCTAGAAGTACAGTGGCATGATCAGGGCTAACTGCAGCCTAAGCCTTCTGACCTCAAGTGATCCTACCTCATCCTCCCCAATAGCTGGGACTACAGGTGCATGCCATATGCCTGGCTAATTTTGATGTTTTTTATAGAGATGGGGTTTTTCCACATTGCCCAGGCTGGTCTTGAACTCCCAAGTTCGAGTTATCCACTTGCCTTGGCCTCCCAAAGTGCTGGAATGAAAGTGTGAACCATCTTGCCCAGTTGTATTCCATTGTTTTTTGTGGGTTTTGTTGTTGTTGGTTGGTTGGTTGGTTGGTTGGTTGGTTGTTGTTTTTTGTTTTGAGACAGTCTTGCTCTGTCACCCAGGCTGTAGTGCAATGGGGCGATCTCAGCTCACTGCAGCTTCCACCTTCCAGGTTCAAGAGATTCTTCTGCCTCAGCGTCCTGAGTAGCTGGGATTACAGGCGTGTGCCAACATGCCCAGCTAATTTTTGTATTTTTAGTAGAGGCTGGGTTTCACCATGTTGGCCGGGCTGGTCTCAAACTCCTGACCTCGGGTGATCCGCCCACCTCATCCTCCCAAAGTGTTGGGATTACAGGCATGAGCCACCATGCCTGGCCTTGTTTTCTTTTATTAATATCTTAAATATCTTAAGTGAGCTACTTTGTCTGAGCCCCAGTTTTATCTTAGTAAAATGGAGGGGCCATAATACAGATGCAAAATATGTCCAGGAGCCTACATAAACTGTCAGCGTAAAGCCCTCATAGAAAATTTAGATCTTGGCCGGGCGCGGTGGCTCAAGCTTGTAATCCCAGCACTTTGGGAGGCCGAGGCGGGTGGATCACAAGGTCGAGAGATCGAGACCATCCTGGTCAACATGGTGAAACCCCGTCTCTACTAAAAATACAAAAAAAAATTAGCTGGGCATGGTGGCACGTGCCTGTAATCCCAGCTACTCAGGAGGCTGAGGCAGGAGAATTGCCTGAACCCAGGAGGCGGAGGTTGCAGTGAGCCGAGATTGCACCATTGCACTCCAGCCTGGGTAACAAGAGTGAAACTCGGTCTCAAAAAAAAAAAAAAAAAAAAAAAATTTAGATCTTGTTAAACAATACCCTCTGTCTGCAGGTACTACATGCATTTATAGGAAAAGTATAAAGTCAAATGTGGGCATGATAAAGTCCCCATCTAGTGGTTATTTAGAGGACAGGGTGCAATTGGTCATGTCATGAGGAGGTTTTAGCTTTTTGTTAAAGTATCATTACTTAAGCCATGTGATTATATACATAGGCTTTCTTTATAGTCTCTGTATCTTTTGTATATCTAAAATACTGAGGATACTAACAATGATTTTTAGAAATTTAGAAATTTTAACTTCCTTGAAACAGGTTTCTCTTGAAAGAATTCTGATGGCTTGAATCAAGGAAAAAATCAGACTGCCTTAAGAGTTTATTTGTGGCCGGGCGCGGTGGCTCAAGCCTGTAATCCCAGCACTTTGGGAGGCCGAGGCGGGTGGATCACAAGGTCGAGAGATCGAGACCAACCTGGTCAACATGGTGAAACCCCGTCTCTACTAAAAATACAAAAAATTAGCTGGGCATGGTGGCGCGTGCCTATAATCCCAGCTACTCAGGAGGCTGAGGCAGGAGAATTGCCTGAACCCAGGAGGCGGAGGTTGCGGTGAGCCGAGATCGTGCCATTGCACTCCAGCCTGGGTAACAAGAGCGAAACTCCGTCTCAAAAAAAAAAAAAAAAAAAAAAAAGAGTTTATTTGTTCAGTGTTCATGCTTTGCCCCATGAACCACCTGCCAAATTTATATTATACACAGAGACAAGGGTATAAGATCTAGAGGCTTGGCCAAGATGGGTGGGATCACTTGAGTTCAGGAGTTCAAGACCAGCCTGGCCAACATGGTGAAACCCTGTCTCTACTGAAAATAAAAAAATTAGCTGGATGTAGTGCCATGTGCTTGTACTCCCAGCTACTCAGGAGGCTGAGGCAGCAGAATCAGGGAGGCAGAGTTTGCAGTGAGACGAAACTGCACCACTGCACTCCAGCCTGGGTGACAGAGCCAGACTCTGTCTCAAAAAAACAAAGAACTAGAGTCTTGCTATCATATTGTATAAGTTCTTAACACCCAGATTTTGGAGCAAGATACTTTCATCCAGTAGTTTAATCATGGTCAAAAATTTGTTCCCATATAAAAGAAATCTTAATAGATTATTAATTTATCACTTCAATATTAACGATTTTTAGTCTTTCCCGTGGTCTAGTACTACGTTATGGATGTGATAGAAAAGTAATTGAACTTGATTATTCAAGCTACCTATACTCTTTCTTTTCTTTTTTTTTTTTTCTTTTTGACGTAGTTTCGCTCTTGTTCCCCAGGCTGGATTGTGCAATGGCGTGATCTTGGCTCACTGCAACCTCCACCTCCCGGGTTCAAGCAATTCTCCTGCCTCAGTCTCCTGAGTAGCTGGGATTACAGGCACCTGCCACCATGCCCAGCTAATTTTGTATTTTTATAGAGACAGGGTTTCTCCATGTTGGTCAGGCTGGTCCTGAACTCCCGACCTCAGGTGATCCACCTGCCTCAGCCTCTCACAGTGCTAGGATATTATAGGCACGAGCCATAGCACCTAGCCTAAGCTACCTATTTTCTAATGATCTCCCATTTGCCTTCTGTGGATTGGTTAGGCCACTAACTTGAATCTCATATAGCATTTCATAGGAGTTATATCTGGGAATGTGGCTTTCAGCCATTGGCTTCTGGTGATTTAGAAAACTACTACTTAGAGTTTCATTTAACTTAGGTCCGCCCCAAAGACCCAAACTGAATCTAAAGCCTCGGAGTACTCCTAAGGAAGATGATTCCTCTGCTAGTACCTCCCAGTCCAGTCGAGCTGCTTCTATCTTTGGAGGGGCAAAACCCGTTGACACAGCTGCTAGAGAAAGAGAAGTAGAAGAACGGCTACAGAAGGAACAAGAGAAGTTGCAGCGTCAGCTGGATGAGCCAAAACTAGAAAGACGGCCTCGGGAAAGGTAGGTTGTCTTCATGATGGATATCCCAATCCAATGGATCTTAATGGGCATTACATCCCCAGGGGCACTTGGGAAATTTTTGTCATTATTACATCAGTGGTTGTCACTGAACATTTTTAGTGGGCTGGGGCCGGAGGTGTTAGGCAGTATGCAGTGTTGAGGGACAGTTGTACATGATGAAGAGTTGTTCCCTGTCCATTACAAAAATGTTTACTATTAAAAGCTGGTATTGTATCTAAAAGACTAGAGGCCTCCTATAAGTAATTGTCCTGAAAAACTAAGCCTGGTAATGAACGGCTTGTAGAACTGTGTTAATATTTAAAAAGGACAGTATTGAAGATTATGTAGGTGAATGTTACTAACCGTATTGATTCTTGCTGAAGTATTTAGGGCCAAAGTGTGTCTTATTGTCTGTAGCTTTCAAATAGTTTGAGGGAAAATTGTATATGTATATACACCTATAGATGAAGCAATTATGGTAAAATATTAATAAGTGATGAGGCCGGGCGCGGTGGCTCAAGCCTGTAATCCCAGCACTTTGGGAGGCCGAGGCGGGTGGATCACGAAGTCAAGGGATCGAGACCATCATGGTCAACATGGTGAAACCCCATCTCTACTAAAAATACAAAAAATTAGCTGGGCATGGTGGCGCGTGCCTGTAATCCCAGCTACTCAGGAGGCTGAGGCAGGAGAATTGCCTGAACCCAGGAGGCAGAGGTTGCGGTGAGCCGAGATCGCGCCATTGCACTCCAGCGTGGGTAACGAGCGAAACTCCGTCTCAAAAAATAAATAAATAGATAAATAAATAATAAGTGATGGTTCTTAAAGGGACAGCATGGATCTAAGGTGGCCTTCATTGAGCCAGGCATGATGTGTATTTTGTGAACTCTTTTGTACAGACACCCAAGCTGGCGGAGTGAAGAAACTCAGGAACGGGAACGGTCGAGGACAGGAAGTGAATCATCACAGACTGGGACCTCCACCACATCTGGCAGAAGTAAGTCAGACCAGGGTGGGTATCGTGTTATTGCTGTTTTCCATAAACTATCCTTAACCAAATTATGCAGAGATGTTGCAGTATTTAAATTCAGTCATGAACTCTTAATTTGGGTTGCATGAGCTGATTGGAGTTTCCTATCTGGTGCTCCAAAGAATCTGAGGAATGAGTACCAGAATAGACCTAGATGATCTGCTTAATAATCTACCACTGAAGTGAATACTTGACTGTTAGGTTTTTCTCTTCATTTTATATCATTTTTTTTTTAATTTCATATATTTTCATTTTATGTCTTGATATCATAGAATTTTGTTTATTCAGAACAGGCATAGGCTTGGGGTTCTGTGTGAGCTGTCTCCAGGACCAGCCTTTTTTGATGTTATCACCAGAGCAGTGTTCTCAAGCCGTGTTATTCTGGGTCTTTATTCTTCCTCACTAGTTACTGGTTGATCAAGCTTTTTAGTGTTTTGGAAATCTAACTGGTTCAATTGTAAAACCTCTCTTCCCTTTTCATGATGTGTGTTTTGTTTTGAGACATGGTCTTACTCTGTCACACAGGCTGGAGTGCAGTGGCATGATGACAGCTCACTGTATCCTCACTCCTGGACTCAGGTGATCCACTTCAGCCTCCCTAGTACCTAGGACTACAGGCATGCACCACCACACCCAGCTACATTTTTCTAATTTTTGTAAAGATGGTTTCCCCATGTTGCTCAGGCTGGTCACTGTGATGTTTTTTAAGGTCTTTCCTCCTACCTGTAAACTGATTTGTACTTATTTTTTTTTTTTTTTTTTTTTTTCCCCTTTAAATAAAGATGAGGTCTGACTGTTATCCAGACTGGTCTCGAACTCCTGGGCTCAAGTGATCCGCCTCAGCCTCCCGAAGTGGTAGGATTACAGGCATGAGCCACCACACCCAGCCGTGTACTTGAGCATTTCAAAACATAGCTCAAGACCAAAGTGATTTGGAAACTCACCCAGGTGTTGTAGGAGTTTTCTGGAAATGATTAACATGTTTTAATGCCCCTTTCTGTGGCTAAGTAAAAGTATAATGTTGAATTGATATATACCTATTTCTGTAGAACTTGCATGTAAAACATAGAAAGAAGGCTGGGTGGGGTGGCTTATACCTGTAATCCCAGCACTTTGGGAGGCCAAGGCAGATGGATCACAAGGTCAGGAGTTCAAGACCAGCCTGACCAACATGGAGAAACCCCATCTCTGCTAAAAATACAAAAATTAGCTGGGTGTGGTGGCAGCCGCCTGTAATCCCAGCTACTCAGGAGGCTGAGGCAGGAGAATCGCTTGAACCTGGGAGGAAGAGGTTGCAGTGAGCCAAGACTGTGCCACGGCACTCCAGCCTGGGTGACAGAGCGAGATTCCATCTCACAAAAAAAAAAAAAAAAAAAAAAAAAGGTAGAATCTGATGCAACAGGCTTCTAGTTGTTTATTTTTAAGACAGGATTTTTTTTTTTTTTTTTTTTTTTTTTTTGGGAGACAGTTTCGCTCTTGTTACCCCGGCTGAAGTGCAATGGTGCGATCTCGGCTCACCGCAACCACCACCTCCTGGGTTCAAGCAATTCTCCTTCCTCAGCCTCCTGAGTAGCTGGGACTACAGGCGTGCACCACCATGCCCAGCTAATTTTTATATTTTTAGTAGAGACAGGGTTTCACCTTGTTGACCAGGATGGTCTCAATCTCTTAACATTGTGATCCACCTGCCTTGGCCTCCCAAAATGCTGGGTTTATAGGCGTGAGCCACCGCACCTGGCCTTAAGACAGGATCTTACACCCAGGCTGGAGTGCAGTGGTATCATCATAGCTCACTGCAGCCTTGAACTTCTGGCCTAAAGCAATCCTCTTGCCCCAACATCCCAAGTAGCTGTTAGGACAGGTGTATGCTACCATGCCTGGCTAAATTTTTTTAATTTTTGTAGAGATGGGGTCTTGTTACATTGCCCAGGCTGGTCTCAAACTCCTGGCCTCAAGCAGTCCCGCCTCAGCCTCCCAAAGGAGGCTTCTCATTTTGAGAAGATACTTACTGCCTTTAAAAAAAAAAAAAAAAAAAAGCGTAGGTTGTTTTTTGTTTTGTTTTTTTGAGATGGGGTCTCACGTTATCAACCAGGCTGGAGTACAGCGACATGATGACAGCTCACCTCATCTTCCCTAGTAGCTGGGGCAGTAGGCACATGCCACAATACCCAGCTAATTTTCCCATTTATTTTGAATCTGGGGTTTTACTATGTTGTCCAGGCTGGTCTGAAACTCCTCAGCTCAAACGATCCACCCCCACTCAGCCTCCCAGTGTCCTCTAAGATTACAGGTGTGAGCCACTGCACCCAGCCAGTAGGTGGTTTTTCATAAATGCAATTGTATCATTGTGTATGTGTGATGAGTTTTAAGTTGAAGTTGAGCGATGGTTACTAGAATTTGGGGTTTCATCATAGGTCCTCTTCACATATGTATATTCTCCACGTCAAGACACTTTTAACATTGAGAATGCAGACAGGCTGTTAAAGGATACTCATTCCTCAAAAGGTCAGATGGCTGGGTATCCCTTAAGATGTATACATTGTCATTATTTTTCCTATTTCTCTGTGCATCAGTAAACCTTGTTCTCGGAAATACTTGGAAACCACTGGTTTAGGGATAAATCCGTCTTTGCGTGCCAAAACTGATGTGGATCGTTTTCCACACTGTTGAGATGATGGTAGATGCATGAGCATCTGCATCCTGATAATTTGTTCTTTCACTCTGGCTTCACAGATGCACGAAGGAGAGAGAGTGAGAAGTCTCTAGAAAATGAAACACTCAGTAAGGAGGAAGATTGTCACTCTCCAACTTCTAAACCTCCCAAACCTGATCAGCCCCTAAAGGTAATGCCAGCCCCTCCACCAAAGGAGAATGCTTGGGTGAAGCGAAGTTCTAACCCTCCTGCTCGATCTCAGAGCTCAGACACAGAGCAGCAATCCCCTACAAGGTGAGTCAGCTTGGAAGCAGTAGTTGGTTACCTGTGCAGATTCTTAAATAATGTGATGTGATGATGGAAGATGCCTTAACAGGATACCAGCATTATATAGTATCTTATAAGTTATGCTGGCTTTGTTCTCTTAGTGTGCTGGAACTGGCTTATAAGACCCAGATCTTCCATCTTCTGGAGTTTTGATAGCCAGTTGGCATCACTTTGGTAGCTTGAAATCAGCTATGATGGGAGTACTAATGCCACACAAATCTGCAAATACTATAAGTCAGAGTTTTCCCTTTTGCCACGTATTGGCAGTATGGTAGGGGGTAACTTTCCTTAATTTCTCTAAGTCTCATTTGTAAAGAAAATAGCAATACTATTAGCCGGGTATGGTGGCAGGCGCCTGTAATCCCAGCTGCTTGGGAGGCTGAGGCAGGGAGAATTGCTTCAACCTGGGAGGCGGAGGTTGCAGAGAGCCGAGATGTGCCATTGCACTCCAGCCAGGGCAGCAAGAGTGAGTCTCCATCTCAAAAAAAGAAAATAGCAATATATGTCCTGCATGAAGTGATGACTAGAAAGCATATGGCATTTAGTGTTTAAATTACTACTTTCATTGTTTTCTTTCCCATATTTTAATGTTCATAACATTGAGTATGATTTTGTTTTCTGTAAAGCTTACTGCATTTGGAGGATGATTATAAGTTTATTGGCTGTTTTCTCCCTGATACAACTGATGAATGTGATTATGTGTTTTCCTTCTAGTGGTGGGGGCAAAGTAGCTCCAGCTCAACCATCTGAGGAAGGACCAGCCAGGAAAGGTGAGCTCATAGTGTGGGAAATGGGTTTTCACCTAGAGGCCTAATAAAAAGAACTCTAAAATCAGATTTTGAAGAGCAATGTGTCTTGCACCTGATACTGTGTTAAGAGTTCTTGGGTTGGCTGGGTGTGGTGGCTCACACGTATAATCCCAGCACTTTGGGAGGCCGCGGTGGGAGGATCACCTGAGGTCAGCAGTTCTAGACCAGCTTGGCCAACATGGCAAATACCCCATCTCTACTAAAAAATACAAAAATTTAGCCGGATATGGTGGCACACTCCCAGCTACTCAGGAGGCTGAGGCAGGAGAATTGCTTGAATCTGGGAGATGGAGGTTGCAGTGAGCTGAGCTCACCCCATTGCACTTCTAGCCCAGGTGACAAAATAAGACTCCATCCAAAAAAAAAAAGAGTTCTCGAATTATCTACCTTTTCTTGCCAGTAGAGGGAGGAGTGGCCTCTTTGGAGAAAGCATAAAACTCTGCCCTTTCCTGGTAGAACATTTCCTTGAAAGGAGGAGAAAAAAATCGGAAATTAAGACGTTCAGTCCAGATTAGAAATGTCACCATCAGCAGAGCCAAGGTCGCTGCAGAGCGGCACAGACTTTATTTCCAGCTTGCTTTTCAGGATGGCATATCCCTGCGTGGAACTTTTTAGTGGATTTTGTTTGGTTTTGTAGTTTTATGTGCTATAGAGGACGTGGGAAGAAGGGCTTCAGGAAGGAAGTCTGGACTGGGGCCAAGATAGTTTCCCTCAGTACTCGTGGGCTCAGTTTTCCTCAGCTTAAGGAAATCTTAGGAGAGTGGCGTTGATCGTTTTACTTGCCTTTTATTTGTTTGCTTTACTGCTCAAGCAGATGAAAATAAAATAGATGGGATGAACGTCCCAAAAGGCCAAACTGGGAATTCTAGCCGTGGTCCAGGAGACGGAGTGAACAAAGACCACTGGAAGGAGTCAGATCGGTATGTTTGTTCTCTTTCTCATTATCATCTTTCCTCTGACCCACATGCTTTTGTAATTAAGAAGTTAAGTTCTTGGTTCTCAAAACACTGCCAGATCTCTTATTGTGAACAAACTGAAGTCAGCCAGCGTAGACAGTTAAGCTTCTGAAAATCTAGAAGTAATACATCATCTGGATAACAAGGACTGTTGAGTGCCTTGAAACTGCATGCTTGTAATACATGTTTGTATTAGGCGAATCCTCTCCTAAAGACATGGTTTTATGCTTACGTCTCTGCAGGAAAGATGGCAAAAAGGATCAAGACTCCAGATCTGCACCTGAGCCAAAGAAACCTGAGGAAAATCCAGCTTCCGTAAGTGTTAAAGGCTGCTCCCAATTTCTTAGAATACTTTTTGCCATTGGACTTGTTTACATTTGGAATACAGAGTGGTTGGAAATAAGGTATTGGTCTTTATCCGAAATAGCAAAAGAAGTTTAGCCTTTTCCTGGTTTCTGCCTTCCTCTGTTCTCATCCTTCTGCAAGGTGTAGAGGTGGCGTGAGACTACAGTGAGATCACATGTGCCTCTGACCCATTCCCTAGCTCCTCTCCAGCGGACGGTGCTGATGAGCAAGCAAGTGGGTGTCATCTGTCATCCCCCATTGCCAAAGGATCGGCATCTTGTGTCTTGGGTTTTGATGTGTTCATTCAAGGCCTTCATTATCCTGTGATTCTCATGTTAACAGATGTTCAGTTCTGCGAGCAAGTATGCTGCTCTCTCCGTTGATGGTGAAGATGAAAACGAGGGAGAAGATTATGCCGAATAGACCTCAACATCCTGTGCTTTCTCCTAATTTCTCTCCACCCTGGAACATTCGAGAGCAAATCAAACCTCTATCCAGACAAGACAAAATAAAACTCACCATCTCCTGGAGACCTTTCTTACCTTTTTTTTTTTAAATGGAATTCTTTTGCATGCTGCTGCAGCCTTTAAAGTATTGAAGTAACTGGAGAATCGCCAATATAGCCAGAGAGAAAGAGACTACAGCTTTTTGTGGAAAAGTTGTGGTGCGTTGTGTCACCATGCACTTGCCAGTGTGATTAGTGCCTAGGGGCCTCCATTGAGCAGAAATGGTAATGACAGTGATAAAACGTCTGGAATCTGGTTGGGCAGTAGGGGAGGGAGGTATAAGGAAAAGTATGAGATTTCTACCTTTCAGTTTTTATCCTGTTGTGGCATATATGAATTCTCAAACATTATCTGAATAAATTTTCCACTCTTGGAAAGGTAGATTTAGCCTCAAGTTGTTTTAGCTTCCAGGAGGCTGCCAGCCCCTCCTCATATTTAATTCTGAGTTTTGGGGGCCAGCCTAGGGGAAATTCCTTCGTTTTTTTTCTTTAACCCCCCAAGGGGGTAGTTGGGAGTGAGTCAATAGATCATAAAAAATAAGACTATTGGACCAAAATATGGGAAAATCGTGGTTTGAAAAACTGCTTTTGGGAGGTGATGAGTCATTTAGCACCAGGTAATAGGGAAAAATTGTGTGACCTCCAACAAACATGAATGGTTATTTCCTGGAGCCGGAAGCATTTGGGGGTCGTAATTCCCGGTACTTTTTGTGCCCTGGTTTTACCCTTTCTAAGCACTGTCCTTTTTGAAAATTCGAATATATCCACATTCTGTTGAAACCTTGACAGGATGTCACAAAGTTCTTCATGCTACTCTCAGCCTCCCAAAAAGCTGTCTCTAAGTCACAGGCGACCTCTTGGGCATTTTCTCTCAGCCATGGAGAGCTGTGAAAGGAAGATTCGCTGCTTTTCTCAAGCAAATCTTGATGTCTTTTGGTTCTCACTCCTTGTCTGCTCCTGATGCTTTGACCCCTTTTATAGATCAGAGTGCTCTAGAATAATGGATGATCTTGGATGATAAATAAAGGTGGATAAATAGGAACAGGGACAGTTAAATTGGGAGCGTTTCCTGCAATCTCGAGTCCCATCCGTCCCCCGCCCCCCTGCCCCACCACCACCACCACCACCACCACCAGGTTTCCTTCACTGAAAATGCCACACCAGTGCTTCCTGGATTTATGGGGTGGCCAGACCAATGTGTGTTTTTCTTTTTTTTTTTTTTTTAAAGCTTCCCTTGAGAGAATAAATGGTAATGGAGAGAACTATTTAACAAGGTCCTGGTTTCTCTTGCAACACAGTAGCTAAACTTGCCTGCTTTTATGTGCAGTTTTGTAGGGATCAGCTTCGTAGACAGTATTAGCGGAGAAATGACACCCTGATCTTGGTTTGCAAGCCCTTCTCCTGTCAGCCCTAGATTAGGTCCTGTTCAGCCATTCGGGGGTGTTGGTTTATGCGTGCTGCAGCAGTGGGCATAATGAATATAATTTACCCAGTGGACAAAGGTGTGTACCAAGTGAATTTAAATAATTGGTGTGGATTGGCCAGTAGCTAAGAAGTGGGCTTTTAAAGATACTAAAGATTGAAAGGTTTTTTGTTTGTTTGTTTTTTTAAAGAAAAACCATTGATTGTGGATAACGAAAAGCTAGGGTTTGCCCTCTTCATGTCTACTCTCCTTTCAAATAGTTGTATCCAAAACGCTTTTTCCCTCTCCCCAACCTTGCCCCATTAAAATATAAACGGGGATTGGTTAATGTCCCTCTCCTGAATACATGTAAAATTTGTACAAAAATATCTTCTATGAAAATGATTTGTAATCTGTAGACTTATTACCTGGGAGATGTCTTGAGATGTAAAATCCCATCCTTTGGGTTGTGGGTTTTTTGTTTTCTCCAAATAAATCTGATCTTTAAAGTTCATTGTAATGCTGAAGTTCTTTATATACTCTGCAATCCGGTGGTTTTTACTGGAGTCCACTTGCTCCTCCTTCCCCCACCATCTCTGAAGTTTTCTTTCAGCATTGGAGACCATATTGTCCAAGATAAGACGGTGGAGTTACAAGGGAGTCTATTTCAGTGTTTTAATCAACGCCCCCTAGCTCCCCTCTGGCTTCCCCAGCCCTTTGGCCTGGTGTTCATTTTTTAATCACCTGGACTTGCCTGCAGTCTATTTCCTGTACGGTTTATTTTAATTAAGATGCGGGAACTCAATCTTCGTGTCCTTGGGGCGGTTCCCTCATAATCCCCCTCCCTTCAGCAATCTGGAGAGATGCTGCGCCCTTGAGTCACACCGCACTGGTGGACCAGAGATTCTGGTGACAGGCTGGTCTAGGTTACCAGAACAGAGGCCACTTTCTCTTAGTCATACTTCAGACTCAGTGGGAATTTTCCAAACAGCTAGGGACAGACTGGTCATTGTTGCAAGGCAGGAAAGGGGTTAGGACAGTGGCAGAGAATCCCTACTAAGGTCACAAGGAGGTGGAACGTAGAAAGGAGCCTGGGAAACCTCAGTAAACAATTCTGGGGATTTAAGAGCCAAGAGGAGGAAGGAGTTAACACAAATGGCATTTCCCAGCCAATTGGAGCAGTTGCTTTTCTATTTTCTGGCCAGTGCATTTATCTCTGTTCTCCAAAATTGGCAAAGTTGAGGGATATGAGACTCAGTGAGCTGTGATAATGTAAAGGCTTTTCAATGCGGCATTAGGTGCCCCTGTTGCCCAGGGTGTCCGGGGAACCTGCAAGGTAATGCTTGTTCACTGCCTCTCCACAGGAATCGGTTGCACTCACATTCTCGTCTTCTGTTTCAAGCCACTCTTAGCTGTGCAGTACTGAGGTCTAGGTAAATCATGGAAAGAAGAAACATACAAATAGGAAAGGCTTATTTAAAGAGATTTACGATGATTGTGTACAGAAAGGGTGGAGGAAGGCCCTGTGTCCCAAAAGGTACTTTAAAGATGAGTATGGCCAGGCACAGTGGCTCACACCTGTAATCCCAGCACTTTGGGAGGCTGAAGCAGGCAGATCACAAGGTCAGGAGTTCAAGACCAGCCTGGTCAATATGGTGAAACCCAGTCTGTACAACATACAAAAATCAGCCAGGCGTGGTGGTGCGCACCTATAGACCCGGTTATTTGGGAGGCTGAGGCAGAAGAATCGCTTGAACCCTGGAGGCAGAGGTTGCAGTGAGCCGCAATCACTGCACTCCAGCCTAGGCGACAGAGTGAGACTCCCATCTCAGAAAAAAAAAAAAAAAAACGTGTGTCAGCTGTGTGTGGTTGCTCATACCTGTAATCCCAGCACTTTGAGAGGATGAGGCAGGAGGATCGCTTGAGCCCAGGACTTTAGAGACCAGTCAAGTCAATACAGTGAAACCCTGTCTCTACAAAAAGAAAAATTAGCCATGCATGGTGTTATATGCCCATAGTCCCAGCTGCTTGGGAGGAAGGATCACTTGAATCCAGGAGGTCAAGGCTGCAGTGAGCTGTGATCGCACCACTGCACTCCAGCCTGGGCAACAGAGTAGGACTCTGTCAAAAAAAAAAAAAAAAAAGTATGGATCCACCCAGAAGCGCAGCTGCAGAAATGGACTCAGGACTCGTTGCCAAATCTTGTAAATCCTGAACTACTAGACAAGTAGGGGAAAGTGCAGATGCAGCATCCTACTTCACAAGGGCCAACTTTAGGCTGGTTTGGTCCCATTTGTATCTGAGTCCACATTAGCCTAGTTTCTTCTAAACAGAATCAAGCAGTATACTCTGGATCCCAAGGCACTGAGGGTCCCAGTTTGTGCTGAGGGCGTCACCTCAAATGCTAAGCGAGCTCACAGCATCTGGTTTCACAGGAAGTGAGAGAGCTACGCATCTGCTCCTGGGAAGCATTATTTGTCAAATAAGCCTCGTTTCTCAGCAACCATGGTAGCCCCAAGGGCCACAAGTGAAGGGGGGGCTTGCCTTCCCTTACCCTCCCCCAAAAGAAATTTGGAAGAGACCGAGCTGAGCTGCTCCCCGCCCAGCTGCAGCAACCTCCAGCTTGGACAATAAAGCCTCTGTCCTCAGCCAGGAGATCCGCCTCTGGAGTTGGCTCTGCCCCTTCCCCCGCTCTTCCTGGTTCCCAGCACCCAAACCCTCTACTAGAGTTCTCCTGACCCAGTGGTCTCCAGCCAGGACAGCCCCACACCTTCAAATCCACTCCCTATACAGTCCCCGCACCCCAAGGATCTGAGCACACTTGGTTGCAGGCATGGGGTCACCCCAGACCATGGAAGAGGGGGTTCCACCTTCAATGCCAAGATGGACCACCCTCTGCATAGCCAAGGTAAGAAAACGTGTGGCGGGAGGTCAGGGGTGTTCCTGAAATTGTTTGACCTTTATTAACAACCTGGCTTCCTCCTCCATCCCTTCTCCTTCCTCCCTGAAGCTCCTGCTACTGTGAGCTGGAAATCAGGATGCCTGGCTGGCTCTGTGAACCACTCATTTTTGTTTCACGCCCACAGAGCTACCTCCTGCATCACTCCTCATTCTCAGCCTTTCTCGTCAGCTTCCTTCCTGCAGTCCCCTTCCCCACTATCCCCATGCTGCAAGTATGAATCCAGCCTGAGCTGGGAGTTCGGCCACCCATCTTGTGACCCTTTTCCAGTTCCTTGGAACCTCAAAAGTTCCTCCCATGGGCCTGCCAGGAAGGCAGCAAAACCAGCATGGGTGTGAGGTTCTAGCCCTTACCCCTCACCTCTCTGGGGTCCCATGAAGTTCCTCTGAGTCCCAATCTCTCTACTGGCAACTTTAGAGCTTAGGTAAAGGTACCCCACGGCACCCATTCCAGGGCCCAGCCAAAGACCCTAAGGAATGCTGGGAAAAGCAAGATGTTAAAAGAGCTGGTTGAAGGCTCCAAAGACATGAACACATTTCGTTATCTCACGTATGTCAACTACGTATCTTGCCAAAATACACAGGACAACCTCCAGCCCTGCCCTTTCACCGGGAGCCTCCAATCCCGGCTACTCTCCTCGGTATTCCCCCACCCCCACCTCTCCTGTCGCCAATCCCGTGACTCCCACTGCCCTAACCTCTGAACCTGCCTACTGGACACCAACTCAAGCAAGATCAGTAAGATCAATGCTACCCAGTCCCAACCATATCCACCCCCTCCTAATGCCAGTCTCTGGGTGTCGGGGGACACACACTCATCATGCACTGCTTCACTGACTCTTCTTCCCTGTCAGGTGCCCCACCCACTGGAAATGAGAACCAGTCTTCCCAGCCTTTGCCAAAAACAAGATGAGCACGGAAAGGACCCCGCTGAGATGAGACAAGAAGGGAAAGGAGGCCTTAGAGCCAGTGGTACTGGCCGCTTTGAGCAGGCACTGGGCATTGAGCCCTGGGCACTAGGTTCTCAGAATCCCAACGTCCTTTCCCCCGCCCCTTTTCATCATGGAAAATCCAGCGGGGAGGGTGAAGGAGGGAGAAAGTTTCAGGAAGTGCTCACTGCTAAAGGACGTTGGAGAATGTAGGAATGGCAATAGGTTCAGAGCTTCTAGGAAGACATCCCCTACCTTGTCCCTACCTTCCACCTTCCCCTCCAGGGTGGCACCACTCAAACCTGCTCTAGGGCCCATCCACTCCATTCCATGAAGTTCCTATCAAGTACCAGGCGCTGCAAAAGAAGGGAATGAGGTTAGACCACAGAAAGAACTTCCATCTCCACTTGGAAAGGCTGGACTCACGTTCAATGTAAGGAAGACCTTCTCAGAGGTCTGTGGAGTAAGAATGATGGTCCAGCTCTTTCAAAACAGGGCAAGGGCTGGGCACGGTGGCTCACGTCTGTAATCCCGGTACTCTGGAAGGCGGAGGCGGGGTAATCGCTTGAGCTCGAGTTGGAGACCAGCCCGGGCATGGCGAAACCCCGGCTCTACAGAAAACTAGTTGTGCATGGTGGCGCCCGTTTGCAGTCCCAACTACTCGGGAGGCCGAGGTGGGAGGATCGCTTGAGCCTGGGAGGCAGTGAGCGGAGATCGCGCCACTGCACTCCGGCCTGGGCGACAGAGAGAGACTCTTGTCTCAGTGAATGAATAAGGCAGGGCAGTGGATGGGATGGCTGGAGCTGCTTGCAGGTGGAGATGGGGGCTTGAGCCTGATGGAGAGGTCCTCAGCTGTGAATCCTTTGGGACCAGGGAAGGGTGTCCAGTGACTTAAGCCAAAAGTAACACCAGGTGGCTTCACCTGATTCAGGTGCCCGCCTGGGTAGGGGACGCTAGCACCACCACGCCAGGCCACGGGTGGTCCTCTCAGGTCAGGCCCAAGCCCAGACACACTCCTGTGGGGAGGGTGAGAGGCTGGCAGTCCCCTGTCCCCTGCTTCCTAGACCCTTCTGGACCTATGCCCACCGCTTCTTCTGCGTCTGTCTGGCTCGCGTGTTTCTTTTTGCCTGTGTCCCGCCGGGTCAGGCTCTCCCCGTCTCTGAGACTTTCCCGTCCCCGTGTCCTCCGCGGCCGTCTCTCTCCAATTCTCTTCCCCTCTCTTAGCCTCCTCCTGTCCCCAGCGTGTCCCCGGTGCGGCCCCGCCGGCCGGCTGTGCACCCTCTCTCCCCTCGGCTCTTTGTGAGTGAGGGTTCGCGGGAGAAGGTGGGGAGAAGAGGAGGCCGAGGGGCGGGGAGCGGGCGGAACGTGGGGATTGGAGCCGGGAGGGGGGAGGAGGACGAGGAGGAGGAGCGGGCGGCGGCGGGCGCGGGGCGCGGCGGGGCCGGGAGGGAGCCCAGCCGAGCGCGGCCGCCGGCTCCCGCCGCTGCCTCCTTCGCATCTGCTCGGCGCGGGCCCGGGCGGGATGGGCTGGCCCGGGGGCTCCCCCTGCTGCTGCCCCGCCCCGCCGCGCCCCCGCCCCGCCGGGCGCCCCCCGCAGGTGAGTGGCCGCGCCGCGCTGGGCGAGCGGCGGCCTCTGCGTCACGGCCGCGCGGGCAGTGCGAGGGGCGGGCGCCAGGGGGCGCCGGAGGTCGAGGGGGCGCGGGGCGCGGGGCGCGGCTCGGGGCTGGGGCTGGGGGCTCTGGCTGGCCGCGGCAAGTTGGGAGCAGCGGGAGGTCGGGGCAGTGACCAGGGGGCGGGGCGCGGCTTCGATCCTACTCGGTCGGGCCGCCACGCCTTCCAGCGCCCCGGGCGCACGGGGCCACACGCCGTGCCACACACGCAGGCCCGGGACCCGGCAGTAGCTGGCAGCGGCGCTGGGGCCCCGGCCTGGCTGGGTGCGGGCGAGCGTTTTCCTTTCTTACTTCGTATGTGGGACACTGAGGCCGTAAGCGGGCACAGAGGAGGCTGATTCGACTCGCCAGCCCCGCTCTGCGGCCCCCATCCTCCAGACCCCTGTGGGTACACCCCCAGAGCCACCGCCCTCCCTCGCTCCTTCCCTGGGCCTCACCCCTCCTCCGTGGCAGCCAGAGGAGGGGTGAGGCCCAGCCTCCCTTCCAACCACAGCTATTTCCAGGAAGGGGGGTGTGGGTGGAGGGGTTTCTCCAAACAAACCCACGACTTCGGAGAAAGAGGGGGCCCGCCTTGGGGAGAGGCTGACAGGCTCTGAAATGTTCCAGGCGGGAGGAGGGCGAGGGTCTAAGAGGGTCTGGTGATGCCTTCCCAACCCTCCCGGAGTGAGCTACTTTTTCCCTGCGGACTGGCTCATAGCGACGCCATCGCTGCCTCCCTTCCGAGGTGCGTGTGCCACAGGATGGGAGTACTCACAGGCACAGTGGAGCTGCACCACCCCACCCCTCACCGCATTCACTGTTTCGGCACCTCCTTGCTGGGGCTGGGTGGGGAGTGTGAGACCGGTGAAGGTCCGAGGATGCCTGGGGACCTGTTCCAGGTGAGGGGACTTTCAGCCCCTCTGGAGGCAGCAGGTGAGAGAAGCCTGCTGGAGGAATCCTATGTGGGGCCATGTGCCATAGGAGCAGAATTGGGGACTGGACAGAAAAAAGCCACCCCACCGATCACCTTGTCACACTGCCCCATCTCCCCCAAGCAGGGCTGGGGGCTGGACCAGGCCAGACCCGGTTGCCCACACTGGCCAGGGGCCTGGAATGTCCTGGGCCACAGCCAGGCTGGCAGGATAGGGGTGGGGTGCAGAGCCAGCGCTCCTCTCCAGTTACAGGCTGGGGGCCCAGGCCTGCCACACAAATGCCACCTTCTGGCCAAGGTATCCTGGGGACATACTTCTCGGCCTGCAGAGTTGGAGCTTCAAGGGAGAGGTCTCAGGCTAGGCCCAGCCCCCGTCAGGTCCTCAAAAGGGTCTCAAATGGGGACCCACAGCAGGCTTCACCCCAGAGAATGCAGGATTCTCCATCCTAGATAACTCATCCTGACAGGTATGAAGGAGCGGGAGGCAAGCTGAACAGACCCCATGGGAGACGCCAGGGCTGGGGGAGTTGCCTGAGTACTGGGACATTCAGTAAATACCAGGCAAATGAGAGGGGCACATTTGCACATTCTTTCAAATGACAGCTCCAACCAGTCCCAGAGGCTGCTGTCCAGGGCTTGGGGCTGAAGACTCCCAGGCCATTAACCCCTTAACTTTTAGGAAGATTACTCCCCGCTTTCTAAGGCCCCATCCACCTCCCTCCCTTGACTCCCAGGACAGGAAGTCGGCGTTGTTCCCAGGAGGGAGGCAGGAGGCCCATGGATGGGGGTGGAGTGTGTGTTGGGAGGGGAGCCTCCTGTCCAGTCCTCGGGCCCTGGGACAGCTGCTGAGGAAGGAGGGCAGACCTGGGAGAGCCATGAAGGTAGTACCCAGGCTTCGGGGCTGCGGCGGGGACAGGGTGCAGCCCTTGGGTGGAGAGCCCAAGTTGCAGGGCTGGCAAGAGGGCTAGGGGCCTGCAAAGTCATGTCTGAAATAAAGCCAGGGAATGGATGAGTAGGGGGGCACTGTGTCAGGAGCAGAGACTGGGGCTCTCAGGAGAAAGGCCTCAGATGCCTTCGGCTGCAGCAGGAGAATGGATTACTCCCCAAACCTGAGCAAAGCAGTCTTGTGGCTGGACCTTGGCCTTGCAAGGTGTATTGAGAGCAAAGGCGGATGCCTGCTTTCCTTTTTGTACTTCATAACCAGTGAAACTGAGGCAGGAAGCTGGCCCCCAGATCCATTTTTACCTGACCCTCAGGATGCACTCAGGAGCCTGGCCCGGCCAGCCTGTAGTAGTTCCCAGCTCCACTCCCTCCCCAGCGGAAGTCCCTCGAGAGCTTGAGAGTTCAGGCTGGAGCCTGGCTGGGACACAGTGTTCCCCACTTGTCCTTTAGCCCTGCCCTGAGACCAAAATTCTCACCCGGCCCCACCAGGGGCTGGATCTCAGCACCATGGATCCATGCAGATCTCTGGAGAGTGTAGTGTCCCAGGTGTGGGACAACTCCAGAGTTGGGGGGTGGGGGGAGTAAAAGATCATAGGCTGACACTCCCAGCAGGGTAGATCCTGGGAATCTGATCTCCTGGCCTCCCCCACATCCTCCCGCTCCACTTCCTGGAGCAGCGACCTGCCCCCTTCCCGCCTGCACTTCCCTCCACTTCCAGGGCCGGCCTTCTCCTCACACCAGCCAGACAGCCTACCCTCCGCCCAGGGGAAGCGGCTGCCTCCGCCAGGCCGCTTCCAGGAAGCCCCGGGCCAGGCCCCAACATTGTTCAGGCCCTGGGGCCAGCACCCTGGCCAGCCGAACACCATGAAGTCCAGCGGCCCCGTGGAGAGGCTGCTCAGAGCCCTGGGGAGGAGGGACAGCAGCCGGGCCACAAGCAGGGTAGGAGTGCCCACCGGCTGGGCAAAAGACGGGCAGGGGCGGAGGTGCGGGCAGTGGGGGAGGGGACCCGGAATCAGGCCAGGCCCTCTTCCCAATCTCAGCTTCCGCAGCCGTCTCCCCTGGCCCAGCAGCCCCTCCGGAGTGGCCAGGGCTGTAGTGTGAGAGTGTTTGGGTTAGAGTGGGTCCCGCTGTCTGTTCTGGCTCTTTTCTCACCTTCCCTGCTCTAGCCTGGGCCAACCCTAGGGGGTCCTGGCCCCCCAAACCTAAGCCTCAGATGCCTCACCGTAGGACTTCACCATGCACTATCCTGGAGTCCTAGAGCAGGCTAAGGGATCATCAGGCACCTTCCCTGGCCCGGAGAAGTTTGACGGAAATGGGGTGGAAGGGCGGCAAAAGAGAGAGAAGAGGGGGTCAGGAGTGCTTTGGAACTGGCGGTTTGCTTTCCACTGACAACAGCCATGTGTGTTGCTAACACCAACATGCTCCCAAGTGTCCTAGCGGGTCTCACAAAGGTGGTCCAGTCCAGAAGAGTTGCAGGGACAGTCAAGAGACCAGAGGTGCTGCCCACATCCTGATCACTCCCTTTCCCAACTTCCCGGCCTTGCCCCAGAAGCAGCAGCTCAGGGGCAACAACCTGAGATACTACTGTGATGGGTCCCGGGGAGGAGGACAGCAGGAGTCTGAACTCCAGAGGAGAATATGGGTAAAACAGAGGTGGCAAGGAGACAAGCTGTCCCCAGACAGAGGATGGGAGGAGTGAACCCACAGAGGGAGGGGAAGGCACTGAGATAGGTCTGGGCCGTAAGGGGCATCCCAGGCTCCTGCGTCACTGCACCTCTGGGTCAGGAGGGGCTGAAGAGGGAATCTGGTCCACTCTTTTCTCATTCAATGCCTTGAATCCCAAGTGCCAGGGAGCAGGGGGTTGGGGGAGAGCTCACAGCATCCAAAGGCAGCTAAACATCTCTCCCCAGTGACAGGCCTCTGTCTCTCCCTCCAGCATTACCACCCGCCTTACACAACTGCTGTCTGCTGCCTCAATGCACAATGAGTAAACATGTTGTTCTGACCGTGGGGGAGGAGGGTATGTCAGCTGCCTGGAGCGTGGGGACAGCGGGAGCTAGGGGAGCAGGACTGGCTCAGGCCACTCCTGCCGGCTCAGTCTGGTGCTGCAGGACTGATATACAACACGTATGTCTGGAACCCCCCTGCTAACTCTGCACACAGGTCTCCATGCGGGGAGGGCAAGACAGGAAGAGTAAGGGAGTACCCCTACCGCACCAGGGGGAAAGCTTGAGCATGTGGGCTTTCCACAGGGGCATCACACATCAGGGCCACGTGAGGGGCCCAAGTGATATCCTGGAGAGGAGCTGACCCAGCAAAGGTGACGCAAGGGGTCAGATTCCATGCACAGTTGAGGACAGGCCCCATGGCCGCCCTGAAGCAGCGGTGGCCAAGTGCGTCTTGCAAGTTTGAGGGCTTGATCTGGATGGGGGAAAGCAGTGCAGTGCTAAGGCGAGGCTCCTGCCAGTTCCGGAGATGGGGACGGGCCCACTGGGAACTCACAGCTCTGTTTGTCCCTCCTCCCTCAGCCTAGGAAAGCCGAGCCTCACAGCTTCCGGGAGAAGCTTTTCCGGAAGAAACCTCCAGTCTGTGCAGTATGTAAGGTGACCATCGATGGGACAGGCGTTTCGTGCAGAGGTGAGGCGCTGTCCTGTGACTCTGACCCTCCACTCAGTACCACTGTGCTGCACAACTCCAGCAGGCCAACTCACACGATCTCAAAAGTAATATGCTGCTCGATGGATTGGGCACAATGGCAGCTAAGAGGCAGCCACCGCTTGCTTCGGATGGCCCTGGATCCCCGTGACA